TTGACACTTTTCGCCCACACAGGGGGGCTTTTTCAATTCACAAACGATTACCTGGGTGGAAGGTATGCGAGTATTTATAGTCAGGTTCAGAATGCTGGGCCAAGTGGGAATGCTGCATCTGATGATCTACCGAGTGGGGTTATAGAGTCTAAAATGGAATGGAGGAACACTGCAGAAGGTCTACTCACATACTTATCCAATCTCCTTTCCAAGCTACCCAAGATTTTAGACTCTATAACCCCACTCGGTAGATCATCAGATGCAGCATTCTCCACCTGGCCCAGCATTCTGAACCTGACTATAAATACTCACATACCTTCCCCCCCAGGAGATCTGTTTGTGACTTGAAAAGCCCACTGTGTGGGCGAAACCCGTTGCCCAATAAAGGATCACATTATACTGCATATGTGTTTATATTTACATTGTGTTGGTATTTTATGCCACTTATTTCCATCATCTCACAACTGTGCTCATTTCGGGACAAGAATTTTAAGTGAGTGAGTGAGAGTTTATTCAGGTACTGGTACAAATAAATACAGTTACATAAATGATCATACACAGCAGCATATATGTATATTACCTAGGATAACCCAAAAAAAGTCACTGACTTATTTCCAATGGGGTACTTGGGTTTGGTCTTTAGCAGCAACCACGTACGTTATGTCTAGCTCTTGTACAATGTCATGCAGGTTATTCCTGTTTGTGTTACTCTGCTTTAAAAAACTAAAAATTTACCCAGAATATAAACGATTTGTCCTGGAACTGAGCCGAAGAAGACCACCTAGACCAGAATGAATTAAAACTGGAAATGCTTAATGGTGTGGATAGTGAAAGACAGCTGAAAAAAAATTTTATGTTTACAAAAATTGCTCACAATCTGTCCAGAATAATTGTTACAAATTTTATCCAATTAGGGCCCCAAAGCCAGTATGGTATTAGAAGAGAACAATTTTAAAGTGCGAAAAGTATTGGGGACATGCCTCAAATGCTAATTACACTGCAGTAAATGATTAGAACAGGTTGCCTTTTTATGTCAAGGCAAGTCTTATTACAAACCAGGTTATGAGCTAAAATTACCTAATTAATTATCTACAGAAAGGAAGGGAAAGCGATTTCTTGTATACTTTTTACATGTATAATATACATATCTTTGTTTCTTTCAAGTGCATGTATAAGGTATACAGGCCTAACTGACATACTACTATATAGAAAGCACCTTGTTATGCAGAGCATTTTGAGCAAGTTGGTCAATTCTGTCCCAGGATGCGACCCACACCAGTTGACTAACACCCCAAGTACCACTTTACTGATGGGGGTTTAAAACGTACAAACCAGTGTAAGGAAACACACCCAATGTTTCCACTCTTGACGGGAATCAAACCTGGACTCTCAGCTTGTGAAACAAGAGCTTTGCCACCAGGCCCGGGCCACCGTGTGGTGGCAACCATGACTTTTTCTTTTTAATGGTTATGTAATTAATTTTCGTGTACTTGATTTACCCAGTTTATTTTTTTAATTTAATAATTATTACATTTTTACTGTAAATGGTTAACTACTGTGCACACTGGAAATGTCACCATTTTTTAATAATAAATAATAATACCTACAATTACTTGTACAAGGTATACAGGCCTACTGACAGTAATGACATACTACTATATAGAAAACCTATTGGAAATGCAGCGCTTTTTCCGGAAAATTAGGTTTTGGCCCAGGATGCAACCCACACCAATCGACTAACACCCAGGTACCCATCTTACTGACAGGAACAGACAACCGGTGTAAGTAAACACGCCCAATGTTTCTACCCTCGCTGGGAATCGAACCCGGACCTCGCCGTGTAAAACGAGAGCTTTAGCCACCAGGCCACTGGGTTATCTTCCGTAATTTACACGTTTACACATTCATTGTACATTATTTTGAATAAAACATGTCAATGTCTAAAAATACGTCAGAGCTTGCTAAAGTTTTGACATTAAAACACGAGTAATGATAGTGAGATAATGTAGTGTTACTTCCTCTATATTCTCACTTCCACATCCAGAGTGACATTACCCACAAATAAATTTACACTACAACAAAGACGGTATAAAGATGAGGACACACTCAAACCATTTCATGGCTATATTAATTGGTGATATTAAAGAAGGAATACATGCAGTAAACACGAGAGGCTGGGAAACTAAAGAATTATAACAGCGCCGCCATCTAGGTCCCACTACATATGGTTCCCATAAACAACGTTATTTAATACGTTATGAATTACAACAACGACTAGGAAATCATCCATCCATAATGAAGATGCTTTCTGGGAGAATATGGAGGGTCAGAGAGAACAGAAAAACTAGCATCGTACCGGTGCTTCCTCCATTTGGTCGAGATGTGTTGAGTAGTGTGGCCTGGCTGCCTGTGTACCTCCCTGACGCACTGTGTCTCCCAGACCCACCACACACCCACCTGCACCACCCCACCACGGGTAACCCATCCCCCCAACCCACACACCATCACACCCACCACCTACCCTCAACCCAACAAACTCACCCTCCACCCAACCTACCAGTCCCCCACACCGGTAAAACCCCCCACCCCACAAGTAACCTTCCCCCCCTCCACCTCAACAAGTAACCCTTCCCCCCTCCACCTCACAAGTAACCTTCCACCCCCCACCTCACAAGTAACCTCCCACCCTCCACCTAACAAGCAACCTTCCACCCTCCACCTCATAAGCAACCTTCCACCCTCCACCTCACAGCAACCTTCCATCCTCCACCTCACAAGCAACCTTCCATCCTCCACCTCACAAGCAACCTTCCACCCTCCACTCACAAGCACCTTCCACCCCCCACCTCACAAGTAACCCCCACCTCCACCTCACAAGCAACCTTCCTCCTCCACCTCACAAGAAACCTTCCATCCTCACCTCACAAGCAACCTTCCACCCTCCACCTCACAAGCAACCTTCCACCCTCCACCTCACAAGCAAACTTCCATCCTCCACCTCACAAGAAACCCTTCCACCCTCCCCTCATAAGCAACCTTCCACCCTCCCTCACAAGCAACCTTCCATCCTCCACCTCACAAGCAACCTTTTCCACCCTCAACCTCACAAGAAAACCTTCCACCCTCCACCTCACAAGTAACCTTCCATCCTTTCCACCTCACAAGTAACCTTCCATCCTCCACCTCACAAGCAACCTTCCACCCTCCACCTCACAAGCAAACTTCCACCCTCCACCTCACAAGCAACCTTCCATCCTCCGCCTCAAAAAGAAACCTTCCATCCTCTGCCTCACAAGCAAACCTTCCACCCTCCCCCCACCTCACAACAAACCTTCCACCCTCCACCTCACAAGCAACCTTCCACCCAACCCACCACCAAACAGGCAACCCTTTACCCCTATCCTCCACTACATGGAAACATTCCACCAACACCACCCACCCACCATCCACCCAAACCCACCATCCACCCCAAAACGCCACCCAACACCCACCCACCACCAACGCCCACCCACCACCAACACCAAACCACTAAAAACCCCTCCCCCCCAGCCCCCCAACCATACCCCATCTACCCTACCCACCAACCACCAAAAAACCCACCACCCCACCCACCCCCCAACAACAATCGACCACCCCACCCACCACCTGGAGTTTTCCCTGGAGAGGGTTTCAGGGGTCAACCCCCCCGGGGCCCGGTCTGAAACCAGGCCTCATGGTGGATCGGGGTTTCTGATAAAACCAGGCTGTTACTGCTGGCCGCACTCAAGCTGACGTACGAACCACAGCCCGGTTGGTCAGGTACTGACTTTCGGTGCCTGTCCATTTGCCTTCTTGAAGACAGCCAGGGTTCTATTGGTAATCCCCCTTACGTTGTGGGAGGAAATTGAAAAATCTTGGTCCCCAGAAACTTACTGTGTTGCCTCTCAGTGTACCCCTGGCGCCTCTGCATCTCTTGCCCAGTCTTTTGCTTTCATAGGGAGTGGATTTTCGTTTTGCAGGTTTGGTACCATCCCTCCAGGACCTTCCAAATGTATATTTATCAGGTATCTCTCTTTCCTGCATTCGAGGGAATATAGATCAAGTTCCTTCAAAACCCTTCCCAGTAGTTTAGGTGCCTTATCGTACTTATGTGTGCTGGAAAGTTCTTTTTACACCCCTCCAGGTTTGCAATGTCGCAAGCCTTGAAGGGGGCTGTTAGCGCACAGCAGTATCCCAGCCTAGAGAGGGACAAACGATTTGAAGAGAATCAACATGAGTTGGCGTCCTGTTTTGAAGGATCTCATCATCCGTCCTATCATTTCTAGCAGATGAGGTAGATACATTGTTGTGGTCTCTGAAGGCGAGATCCTCTGATATTATCACTCCTAGGTCCTTCACATTTTCTTTTCTGCTCTGTTGTATGGTTAGAATTTGTTGTATACCCTGACACATTTTTAATTCAAGTTTCCCATACTGAGTAGTTGAAATTTCTCCTCGTTAAACTTCATATTTTTTTGAGTGCCTTTTAAAGATTTGGTTGATGCCCCGCTTGGGGGTCTTGCGGTGTCTTCGATGGAGGTCACTACCATGATAACCCGGGTGTCACCCGCAAAGGAAGGACCGGAGCTTGGTTTATGCGGGAAAGGAGGTGCATATTGCATCCCAAACCTTTTCTCCCCCTGCACACTGACAGCTCCTACATACCTTTCCCTTGACCTTAAATCCGTTTCGATGACCCAACCAATGAATAATTAGTAAACTTGCCAGAATGGGTTGGGGATGGCTTCCCCGCTGGTTAAAGGCTACCTGCCAACAGAAAATCGTCTGTGTTGTTCCAGGGACTAGAAGTGAACTAAATTTTGAATTGGGAAAACCCCACAAGGGGGTGGCTCAGCCCCACACTGTTCTTTTTAATTAATGTTATTTAAAGCTATGCCTAGTCAGCCCCATAATTTTGTTTTATTTTTGCTGTGATTAATGATCACCCCACGGATTCCCCAAACCCCCAAAAATTTTCTTAATTATGTACTAGCTCGTGTCGGGACCTGGGGTTGATAATCTCTATAAAAAAAACAAAGATACTCAATAGGCGCCCCTCTCGACAAGAGGCACAGTTCGTCAGTAAATTGATGATGGGTCTCTTCTAAAATTGTAACAGTACAGGTACTAGGTTTTTGAGGTTCCACTACTTGGCCTGTTGAAACAAGACTTTTGCCAATACAAAAAAACATAAACCCTTTGATTGTGGCGGGGCTTCACCCCAGGTATGGTTTGCTAATGTTAAAATTGTAAAAATTTGTATCTGCTTTATTTTGACATTGGTTGTTTATGCTGCGCCACACTTGATTTGTGTCTGACGGGAAGCTTGGAGGGCTGGAAAAACCGCCGAACGAAGCAATGGGGATCTCCTAGGATCCCTCGTATCCCCAAAATTTTAAATATCAAAAAGAACTTGATATTCCAAGCTCAGAGATCGTGTTACTGAAAAAAATTTTCCCCTAATTGGGTTTAATATGCCGGGGGCAAGCTCTTCAAACCCCCTGCCAAAACCCCTCCAAACTTTCCTCACACTGGTGAACACTTCCAGGGATCGAAAAGACGGGAAAAACCGACCCCGCATAAATTTCAATACAGCTATGTCAAGTAAGGCAACAGGGCATTTTCTCGCCCCCCATGGAAATATTCCCCCTTCCCAAACTACCTTTCCCTCCTTTTCCCCCCCCAAACTACTTCTTAAATCACAACCCAAAAACTTCGCCTTGAACCCAAACATGAGGCCCTTAAGCGTTTTGTAACTTAGCCCAACGCACCCCCCTTCGCAAATTATTTACGTTGAGGGTTTTTCGTCACCATCACTGGTGCGCTTTTAGTGCTGTGTTGTCGTACAAGTGATGGCTCCTTAAAGAAATTGGAGCACGCATCAATAATTGGGCCCCCTTTCCCCCCCAGACAGAACTAATTGCCAATCCTTGCACGAAAGATCTATTATCAAGATTGACAGTTTTAAATTTTAACTGATTTCTGTATCCATAAATGCTCTCAATCTTTTTGCATAAAATTTTGGGAGCTGTGTCAGAAACCAGACAGGTTGGGGGGGATTGTGGGGGCAGTGGATCGAGTGCACTGCGTGGATTCCCCCTACATTGGTCTTCAGATGATGATGAATGAAAATTGGCTAAGCTGTATGCTTTCAAAAAGGGAGTAGATTAAAAATCTTGGGTTGCAGGTAGTAGTTTGAGAACAATAATACGAAAAGAACTTTAGCTGAAATTTTTGGATTAAGGCTCAGGGAGATTGACACCATGAGTCCCCTCTTCATCATTTATCTGCAGGAGAGCCCCATGCTTGGTGCATCCAACAAAATAAGCAGACCTTGGGGTCACTACCGCCCCGGGTCCGGCTGGGTTTACAAAATCTTTGGCAGGTAAAACCCACCACCCAAAGTAGACCAAACGAAATGTAAATTTTTTCCGTGGATTATTGTCACACCCCGCGTTTATGTTTGGGTGCATAAAATTAAAAAGAAATTTTTGAAACAACTCATCGAAAAGGGTTTAAGAAATGGCTAATATTTTTTCCACGTGGATTTACAGCCTTCTGGAGAAAACCCTGACTTTGTAGCTGTAAATAACATTACACTATGTGCATGTGTGTGTGTGTGGTGTGTGTGTGTGTGTGGTTGTGTGTGTTTGTGGTGTGTGTTGTACTCACCTATTTGTACCACCTTTTTGGGTTGAGGGGTCGAGTCCTGCCCCCGGGCCCCCGCCTTTTCACGGTTGCTACAAGCCCCTCTTCCCCCCGCCCATGAGTTTATCAAACCTCGTCTTAAAACGTGTAGGGTTTCCTCCCTCCACTCGTCATTTTCTAGGCATTCCACTCCCCTTACAACTCTATGACTGAAGAAATATTCCTACAATCTTCTGACTCTTTTGTGTCTTCAACTTCCCAATTGTGGCCTCTTTTTTCTGTTTTCCCCCCCCCTGGAAAACCCTGTCTTTTCCCCCTGTCCTTTTCCCACCCCAGTTTTTTAGTTTTATCTGTCTCCCCTGCCCCTCCGTCCCCCATTCTCGGGCCCGATTTCCCTTTAAATCTTTCTTATAGGACATTCCCCTTAGCTCTGGAATAACTTGTCGAAAACCTTTTTGTACTTTCTCTAGTTTTTGACGTGCTTATCAAGTGGGGGTTCCCAAAAACGGGTTTGCTGCATACTCCATTGGGCCTGACATACACGGTGTACGTGCCCTTGAATGATCCTTACAAAGGTGTGGGAATGCTGTTCTGGTTTTCCCGGGGCGCCATATGCTGCAGCAGTTATTGATTGATGTGGGGCTTCCGGAGCATGCCGGTGTTATATCCCCCCAAGATCTTTCTCCTTGGTGAGGTTTGCAGTCTTTGGCCACCTGCCTTACTTGTCGGGGGTCTTCTGTGCCCTT